ACCATTAAGGTGATTCTTTTGTACCCTTTTGGGAAAGTTATTTGATATATTTTTAAGTAATTTAGGCAGCGCTTTGATCCCAGAACATTTTATCATTATATTTTTTCTTTTATCTCGTAATATAAAATAAGTCAAAAGATTTTATAAAGTTTATTTGGTAATCTGAGTTCAGAAATATTCTAGCACTTGTTTTAGTAGAAGCTGGGCCCATAGTCTGACCTTTGTTAATGCATAACCTTGGGCAGGATGCAGAGTAGATCCTTGTTAGATATCTTAGTTTTTTGAGTGCCAGTAATAGTTATCTGATTTATTAATTATGAGATACTGATTCATTAAATTCTTCTGTTAATATATTTCATCTTAAATTTAAAAAGTAAGTTAGAAGAATAAAAGATTTGGAAAAGGCTATAGTAAAATTCATGATTACTGTTCATTAGAAGATTTAAGCTTCATTTCTTCTATCTCATCTTCTAATTGATTGGTTTAAGAGAGTGGTTTACTTCTCTTATGTTTGATAGAGCTTATGTTTCTCCACTACTGTTGCATCATGGCTGTAAAGAGATTATGATTCATGCATGGATCTTTTCTTTGCTGACATTTAAAAAAACACGGTACTATTAACATATAATAAACACTAACCAGATTGATTTTTGAGAGGAATATGTCCCTCCTTTCAAATAAAGTTAAATTGAAGGTTCTCTTTGTTTTCATTTTTAGCTATAATGTATATCGGAATTTTCCTTGTTGATTTATTTTAATTATGATTTCTTTTAATCATTTTTTTTCCAGCGTCTTTTGCCATTAAATAACCCATTGTGCTTGAATTTTATTTCAGTAAAGTGTATTAGGATGACAAGTAAGGAGAGCATTATGGAGTCAGTAGTAAAAATAAACCAAAGAAATAAAAAAATTATTAAAATATAGTTCTATAATTTAAATTTTGAAGGTCAGAATGAAGACTTCATCTTGTAATGAGTAACTGAGGAAAAGAGTTATTAATAGAATGTTTTTAATGTGTGTTTAGTTTTCGTCTTTTTTTGGTTGGAAAATATGCAGCAGTGTATTTTGTATGTAATTACATGGGCTTAGTCTTACATACTTTTTTATGCACAATGCTTTGAATAGTCACATAATGTTTTTCTTAGTGAACACAAGCTTTTTAAGTTCTGGTTATTTTGTTTATTTGTTATTTTTCATTCTTCTTCATTATTGAGCTCTGTGAATGTATTTACTTTTTAGTGAGGTATTGAGGATCTTTTTACCAAAGAGCACTTGTAGAGTATCTTTGCTGATAGCTGATTCCAGGAGCCAGAGGAAGACTTGCTGTGCTATTTGACAAGCTGTGAGTGCTGACCAGCCAGGGACAAAGGCAGATGAAGGAGAGCAAGATAAAAGACTTAAGTACTACAGAGGTGATGTTCTGCTGCAGAGGGTAGCATGGGACCAGCTAAATTTAACTGGATTCCTCCAGGCCAAAGAATTGGGAGCTATTTTCAGTTGCATTATAGTGAACTTTTATTAGAAGTGTGTGTGACCATTAGTGACATATTTTGGCAACTTTTCATAGTATCTGAGTCTTATCTAAGTAGCATGTGTTTGAGATTGTTCTAGATGCCCATGGTCCCTGTTCACTTATGACAATTGAATGTGCCATTTCGAGCAGAAGTATATACATACGTCTTTCTAGGTCTGTAAATGGGTCTACATGGAGACGTTCAGGGTTCTTTGACTAGTAGATTAGTATTTTCTTCTCTCACCGTTGAAGAACAGTGTATCTTACACAGTTTTTAGGTATAATAACTAAGTGAAGAATTCTGTCCTCTTGAGTTTGAAACTGATGTTGAAATATTTTATGACATTCTTTCTGTTCCTTACTCATGTTAATTGGAAGTTACAAGCCTTTATATACTTTTCACATTTTCATGTCTAGTAAAGGCTTTATTATTTATAAGCTAAGTTTAAATTATGACGTTCTCCATGATTACTTTTAATGGCTGCAGTCAAGTAGAAACACGACTACTTGAAATTTTGTATAGAACAGTGTGACAACAGCACTTTTATATTTTATAAGTACATGAATTTTAATATTTTTTGATCAAATAGTACCTAGACTCCCTGGAATTTGGTAATAATACATACTTTTACTACCAAAATATAACCACCATACAATGGCTTGTATCTCGTGGTCAGTTATGGTTTTATTGAATTAGAGTTCTCACTGTTTTCTGACTCCCTGTGCAGCGGTTATCTGATCTGCATTAAGAGCAGGTTAGCTTCTGTTGTGGTAGCGTCTCTGTGCTTCAGAGCAGGGGCAAGGCCCTCATGCAGGCTCATCCCCACCCGCCTTGCTCCTCCATTCCTGGTGTGACCTTGGCCTCCCTCTGGCCTCCACCTGGTGGCCCTCCAGACACAGGCGCTTGAGGAGAGCACCAGCGAGTTGAGGAGATGGCGTTCTGCTCAGGGCAGCTCATCTTGACCTCTGCAGGGCCAGCAGAGAGGTGCGGGTATTTCCTGTGACCGTGATGTTTTATTTTGCTGAGGTCCAGCACTTATAAAAGCGCTCAGCTGTGTTGCCTCTCAGCAGCACTAACACGTGCCCACACACCCCCATCCTCATGACCCCACTCAGGTGGAGACATAGTCTCTGGTGAGTTGCACCTTTTCTCAGTCTGCATAGCCACACCCCCCCTTCCCACCCATTTCCACTCTTCTGACTTCCGTCATCGTCTGATTACGGTTCTGTGTCAGGTTTCACCCACATGATACAGTATAATAACGGTCATTTTATTACCTTGTAGTGTTCCTCTGTACACATTGACCGCACTTAATTTGCCATTCCTTTGTTGACACCCGTCTGAGTTGTTTCAAAGTGATGTCATTCAGTTCTTTTTGCTTTTAGTATTGTCAAATGCAGTGTATATAAATATTTACTTGGAATAACTTTTTAAAAAACCAAGTAAAATATATCCATTGTAGTAGTCATACTGAAGTGTAACTTACAGTGGTGAAGTTCAGCCTTTGGACTTGCGTAGCTTGAGTTGTTTTTTTTTTTTTTTTTTTAATCGCTACCAGGGATCAGACTCACGTCTGTGTGCTTTTGAGGCAGGCACTTATGCCGTTGAGCTAAATCCCCAGCCCCATAGCTTGAGTTTTGAACAAGGCATGTGGTCCTGTCACCACACGAGCCTGGTGGACGTGGATTACACCAGCCCAAGAGGCCAATTTGCTCCTCTGTGTCAGTCTTCTACCCACCTCAGGCCGGCTCTGATCTGATTCTTGCTTCATGCAGTTTGCTGTGTTGAGAGGTCATAAGCAGAATCAGCCCTGGAGAATGGCTTCCCTGCTTAGAATGATGCTTTTAAGGTTCATGTGTGTAGTTGCATGTAGCTGCTATTTTTATTTCTAAGTTGTAGTGCATTTCATAGATGTAGCACCATTTATTAGTTAATGAATGTGTAAATTGTGTTCATTTTGGATGATTTTGAGTGAATATTTGCCTACAGATCTTTGTGGATATGTTTTTATCTTTTAAAGCACAAATAGGAAGATTCCATTCCCCACTGAATTATCTTTGCTTTTTTGATGAAAATCAGTTGACCATGATGTGTGAGTGTGTTTGTGACTTCTTTCGTTATGCTGGCTTATGGTTCCTGTTAATACCACACTCTCATGGACAATACAGAATAATGAGCAACAAGGGAAGAAACAAAAGAAAGCTTTGCTGTTGTAAAAGCAGTTAAATAATATATCAATGAATAAACATGGCCATGTTCCAGTAACACTTTCTTTTGGATACTGAATTTTTCACTTAGTGTAATTTTCATGTATCACAAAATATTTTTCTTCTGTTTTCATTATTTGAAAATATAAAATCAAATTTTAATTTTCAGGCCATAAGGCATAGTTTTCAGGGAGTGAACTTCTCTCTGGGAGGCTGAGGCAGGAGGATTGCAATTGAAGCCCAGCCTGGGGAACCTAAGGACTTAAGGAGACCCTATTTCAAGGAATGAAAAAATGGCTGTGATGTAGATCAGTGTGAAGATTCTGGGTCCAGTCCCTAGTACTAAAGGAAAAAAAAGGAGGACACCAGAATTTTTGCATTTGGGTTCATCCTTATGGCTTTATCTTATCTTGACTGTATCTATATGTCTTTATATCCTATTTCCAAATAAAGTCACTTTCTGATGTACTGTGGGTTACAGTTTGAGTGGGTCCTTTTGAAGAGATAGAACTGAATCTGTTGATACCAATGTGGAAAAAAGTTTTATTGTTTCGTTGATAGAAGTTGGAGCATTATCTGTGATGGTGGCTTTTATTGTTTTTTGACTTATTTTAAACATCTGAAGTTTTATCTTAAATTCTCAGCATTGTTTTTTGAACTGCATAATTTACAGTAGAGATGAGTAACCATCCAGATTGTCTCCATAGCAGTCATATTTCCCTGGCAGGGTGCACTGCCTGTGACAGTGTGTGTGATTCTGGAGCCCTCGTGTGATGAAGTGCTGAGATGGTGCTTGGAAGTTTGGAGTCCGAGTGTTGCAGTGGCTCGTTGATTTCTTGTGATCACCCCTGGGAGTGCTGTCTCCTGGAGCTTGGTGCCTTCCTTTGGTACTCCTTCCTATGACACTGATTCATCTCCTGTTTTAAAGTCACTTCCAGGGGCTGGGCGTGTAGCTCAGTTGGTCAGCATTGTAGAAGCCCTGGGTTCAAGTCCAGTACTGGAAGATGAAAAGTCACTTCCACCAGCTACCAGCAGTCTAATCATGGTCTTACCATTAGTCATGTTAGGTATCTCATTGCCCTCAAGCCTTCCTTAGACTTTCACACTTACTGTGCAATCTGCTTGAACTTATTCGTTGTGTTTTATTCCTAGATGTGATTTCGGAAATTGAAGTGAGTGCTTTTCTTTCCTAATGAAGGTGACTGGGGGAGACAGGAGGGGCCCTCAGCACTGCCTTCAGGCCCCTCTGTATGCTAACGCTGTCACTCTCTCTGTGCAGGCTCTGACGGTGTCGCGGCAGAGTTACTCGCCGTCTGGCTTTCAGGATTTCAGCAAGTGGGAATCAATGCTGAAGATAAAAGAAGGACTTCTGAGGCAGAAAGAAATTGTTATTGATCGGTGAGCACATTTTTATTCAGTATTTCAGGCAAATGGAGATGGAGTTTAATGACACAAACCACTTTGCACTTGACTCAGAGTTTGAGAATTTATGGGTGCACTGATGCTGCCTGTTGGGCCTGCCCAGTCCAGGCCTTTCGGGAGCCAACATGTGGAGGGTTGGTCTGTCTGTGGGGTTCCTGTTGCCTCTGTGTGAACTGCACTGCATGGAGCTCCCTGTCTGGATGGCCCAGGTATGGCAGTGCTGCAGCAGATGGCACCCCTGTGCTTCATCTTTTGACACTGACAGAAGGGAGGGCTTCTCTCCAGCAGCCCTGCCCTTCACAGACAGGCGTGAGGCCTGAGGCCTCACAGGACAGTGGTGAATGTTTGAAGTAACTGAGAGATAAGAACTGTGCAAGTTTTTGACACCCAAAACTTGCATAGATTGTAAAGGAGGAGAAGGGCTAATCCGGACAATCAAGTGGATCACTTGGCTGGCTCATTAGGCTCCTCCATGGGACTGTGGCCCTTGGAGATTGTGGCTCTGGCAGTTCCTGGAGGCAGAATGGCCTCTGTCCTTGACCAGAGGAAGTGACAGAATGAAGATATGGCCCCATGGTGCTGTGGGAAGGGGCGATGGCGTGAAGAAGGTTGGATGATGTAGCCCGGGTGTCCCCTCCGAGTGTCTTGGCTGTGACAGACTCCTGCATGCCTGCACAGAGGAGACGGGGATGCAGACAACCCGTGCCCTTCATCGCTGGCTTTGCCCAAGACACGGGGATGCTGGTGGCTGGCTTACACCGCCTGCTGCTCCCGCTGCTCTGTCGTGGTTGCAGGTCCAGCTAACTGTGCCCCTGGGTAGGGTGCAGCACAGTCACCAGGATAGTAGTGGTGGGCTTGTTTTGTTTCATTTATTTTATTCTTTGAGGCAGTATAGTTGGCCTCAAACTCTTGATCCTCGTGCTGTGGCCTTCTAAGTTCTAAGATCATAGGTGTGCACCTGCTGATTGTGGACATTTCTGTAAACAGCCTGCCATGCCCAGTACTTTAAGCCACCTTAGGATTTTCTTTGCACATTTTTTATAAGGTTTAAGTAACCAGTGTTTTTAATATTGTGTGTAAAACAGTGGAAGAGAAACCAGCTTTGCTTCAACATTTAAGTATAAAATTGTTTAGGTATAAAAACATACAGAGCACTAAAAATTAGAAGCAAATACTTAACTTTCTCCACAGGAAGTAGACTAGGAGCTTTAAAATATTGGTGACACATGTAGAAACTGTTTCAGAGATGGGTGACAGGACTTGCTGTCCAGTTAAACAGAACCAGAATAAGAGTGCCTGCTGGACCTCCTGCTTAGGGACATGCTGTGGCTGATAATGCTTTTCAGGTCTCTACTAAAAATTACTTAGTATTATTTTTGAAAATATCAGTATACCCAACGTGTGAGAGAAAAATGTGTTTGTTACTCTGTATGTCTTTGTAGTAAATGACTGCATTGTCAAAACAGAACAAATGTTTAGGAAAAACAGTTACAGTAGAAACCGGGTTTCTGAGTATGCCTGGTCTCTTGAAAAAAATGTGTAGATTAGCTTTGTGGTCATCACAGAAAACCTAGGGAACTGGTGCTTTATTCTCTCACATTTACCACTGTAACCCTGTAGGTGATTCTGAGAGCGGGCTTGGTCTCTTGCACTTTGATTTACTGTACCTCTCTGCGTAGGTGAAGGAGTTTTGCCACTGAAACGAACTGGAGTTTTTGATTAATGGCGTTTTAGGCAGCTCCCCTTCTCCAGCTTTATAACATGAAGATTAAATGAATGAGTGTATATGTAAGAAAATCCTAATGTTCTGCCTTATGCATGATAGCCATCTACAAAATGGCAGTCACAGCAACATGCTTTTTTGCATATAATGAGGTTTAATTAATCTGATTAATTAAATCTAATTTGCTCATCTCTGCTCCCTGACAGAAGAGGACTTTCCTGTATGGTTTTTAACTCTTAATAATTATCAAATCTTCATTCTGAGAAAATAGCCTCATTTTAATAGAAAAAACAGTCAGATTTCTGGGTTAACCTGTGTCGTTGCATATACATAGGTCTGCTGATCGCTTGCCCATTGTCAGGTTAGGGTTGTAGCTTGGTGGCAGAAAACTTGCCTAGTGTGTGCAGGACTCTGGATCGATCCTTAGTGCTGTCCAGAAAAGCCCTTTTAAATAGCTGGCACTTTTGAACTGTGTTCCACTGAGTTGATCAGCCAAGGGTTAATCATTGCACTTGAGAATGACCCACAGAGAGAACGTCTAACTCTTGTGGAGGCTGCTGAGTTAGTACTGTTAGTGACACTACTTCAAGAATGTCCCATCTTGTCATAGTTGACAACAGGCTGTATATATACCTCTCATTTAGTTACATATGGAAGTAAAAATACATTGTTGTTTCAGGGAGACCTTTTAAAATCAATGAATTCTTTGCTGCAGTGTAGGTACCTTTTAAATTAAATGGTTAATGACCTTTTAGGTCATTTGCTTTATATACGATTTATCGTAGAGTGAAAAGAAGGCCTGCCTGTATATGTCAGGACTACACAGAGCATCTCACACTCACAGGTTTAATGAACTGTAATTTGTGAGCCTATGCTTGTGACAGACACTTTGTAGCACCTGTCTTTTACTTTGACACATAATGAAGAAGTTATTTATTCTCTATCTTTAGTGTTAAAATGAGACTTGATCATTTTATCAGAAAATTTGAGCACCCAAATACCATTTTAGTCATTTGTTTATAAATGATTTTGGTTGTTTTTATGTAGACCTATGGAATCAGTTAAAGAATGAATGTTTGAGTATCTTCTGTTGGTATAGTATACTGCGATTCAGTTCTGACAGTGAACTTCACAGACTGAGAGTGATTCCACAGCAGGATAGCCCTATGTAGATACCATGCAAGGGGTGGATGTACCCTCATCACCCAGATTGATTCAGTGAGGCGACCTCACACTGATGCTGGAGGTCATCAGTAGCTCTGTTGTCACAAAGTGTGGAGCACATTCTGGATGAATGGAAATGGAGATTTTAAGTCAGTGGAGTTCCTGACTGTCTTAGTGCTGAGACAAAATACTGAACACCCACAAGTTAAAGGAGGAAATAATTTATTTAGGTTACAGTTTATAGAGGTTTTAGTCCATAGTCTGCTGGCTCTAAGGGAGGGCAATGTGGCAGAGGGGCATCGCTGAGGAGAAACAGTTCTTGGCAGGGCAGGTAGCAGCAGCAAGCAGTGGCAGTGGCCCTGTTTCTGTTCCATGCAGGTGACCTGCCCAGAGGGTGGGTAGCACTCACACCCAGGGTGGGACACGCTTAATCCTACCATCACACACTCTAGATCCAGCTGCCTCTGTAGAACCCCACCTGTGACCACATGAAACTTTGGAGAACCATCTAGATAGAAGCCATAGCATTGACCAAACAGGCAGCATCTCTCATAAGAGGTGAAAAGAAAGTAGAAAGCAAAGGGTGCATTGATTCCTTTGTTAGGATCTGGGAAACCAGGTCTACCAAAGAGTCATCCCACAGCTTGCACAGCGTTGTAGCTTTGAACGTTCCCTATTGTGGTTTCTGAAATTGACAATGTTGTTAAACTCTTGTGTCAAATTATTGCAGCACTAAAAGGTCTGCTTTTAACTTATTTTCTTCTTCTTCTTTTTTTTTTTTTTAAAGAAAAGTATATTCTTTTTTTTTTTTTATCGGTACCAGGGATCGAACTCACTACTGCCTGCTTGCAAGGCAGGCGCTTATGCCGCTGAGCTAAATCCCCAGCCCCAAGAAAAGTATATTCTTTGTAACGTAACCTCAGTTTTTGTTTTGCAGGCAGAAGCAACAGATTAGCCACCTCCATGAGAGAATAAGGGATAATGAATTGCGGGCACAGCATGCCATGTTAGGACATTATGTAAACTGTGAAAATCCCTATGTGGCTAATTTGCAGGTAAGGCTACCCCTTTTACTGCTAGTAATGAGGATTGAACCCAAGACTTCTGCACTGCTCTGTAGCTCTTTTTGTTATTTAGTGGGGGTGGGGGTGGGGGTGGTTCTCACTAAGTGACTAAATTCCCTGGGCTGGGCTTGAACTTGAATCCTGGAATTATTGGCATGTGTCATTATGCCCATTTGACAACAGAATATTTGATAGCTGTTACTTAATAAGGTATCTTGTGTTAATAATATACTTAGCTTATAAAATTTGGACATTTTAGTCAAGGTGTGAACTGGTAGTGTATTTCATGCATTTTACAGATATGGTAGCAGGTATCTACCTGTCTGTATCTTTCCAGGTTGTGTCCCTTTCAGGCACACACAGGAACCGCTATGGTCAGTTTCTAACACTTCTGTCCAGAGTTGCTGGGTAGCATCAGCAGACAAACATTTCATTACTTTAAAGGTATCAGAATGCATTGTTGACATCTGGTTTTTTCCTTTCTTTCCAGGCCTTGTGTGAAAGTATGACTTGTGTGGGCCTTGTCATGTTACTGTCTCTGAGAGTCATGTGTGGGGTTTTATCCTCTTAGCCATTGCACATGGTGTCCTCTCCGGAGTCGTGTACCACACGACTCAGGAGCAGGCGTGGGCATCACATGGTGTCCTCTCAGGAGCGGGCGAGTACACCAGGTGGTTTCCTCTCAGGAGTAAGTGTGACAGGCATGTCCTCCCAGGAATGAGCATATGAAGGAGAGGCTGGGCAGTCCCTTCCGGTGGCTTCCAAATGTGCTTCTATCGGGAGGGATGCTGAGCTACTTTTTGTCTAAGACCCACTCGTCTTTAGTTTTCTGGGAATTGTCTTTTCATTGGGTTATGGGTTTTGTTTATGGTTTTTATATAAACAATATATAGAAGAAATTTATATAAAAGAAATTAGCCTTTTAGCTATAATTTGATTTGAAAATAGTTGTCAGATTTGCTATTTATATAATCCTGTTTCTTTTTCTCTATGTAATTTTTTCTGCCATAAACTATTTCTAATGATTTCCACCTTTACAAAGGAGCCTATTTACCAAAACAGTTAGTGAGCATCCACTGTTAAATTCTGCTCTCATGATAGTACTTAGGAGGAAAGAGCACTGGGAGCACCCTTCGTCCACTCCTCCCTGGTGCATTGGCATCCGTTATGCGTGGCAGGGTCTGGGGCTGGAAATACAAATAGGACTAACACTCATTTTGCCCAGAACGAAGAGCACAGCTTAATGGGCCAGGAACAAAGGTCTGTGAGACCTTACAACAGACTTATGGGAGAAGCGGAAGAGCCCTTGTTCCAGTTACTACTTTTCCTTTGAGAGCTTTCCTTAAAATGTATTTGTATGTTTTCCTATATCAACTTTATAACTGGCTTACTGCTGGGGGGAGTGTTGGTATTTTCATTGGTATTGAAGTGAGGCCTGATAACATTGTAGTAAAACATAAACATTTCTATTTGTAAAGATTTTGTCCTCTTTGTTAAAGTGTTTATTCTTAGATTTTAAAAAATTATTTTAAGTGGAATTTTTCCCCTTTATTCTGCCTTCAAATGTGTTATTTATAAGTATTAAAGTGTTAGTAAAATCAGAAAATTTTGAGAACCACATAGCTTTAGATTTACCCCAGGCAGAGGTTTTCAACATGGAGCCTCCAGCTTCTGTCACACTTAGTGACGTACATAAACACTGCATTTTATTTTTGTTTGTTTGTTTTGAGATAAGAGTATTGCTGTGAAGTTCAGGCTGGCCTTGAACTCACTGTGTAGACTGGCCTCGGATTTACAATGATCCTCCAGCCTCAGCCTCCTGAGTCCTGGAATTACAGGAGTGTGACATCATGCCCAGCAAACACTGCATTGGAAAGCAGCGATTGTGGTGAGGAGATGAGAGAGGCAGTGTTTGTTACTGGCCGGCCGTGTGACTTGCAGCCACGTGGACCAGATCCAGTTGTGATGAGAGGGAGAGAGTGCACTGGGTGTGGGTGATGCTGCACGCCCCTAGGGTGAGCTGCCAGAGTAGGCGGGTCTAGTGTCAGTGGTCACTTGGAGGAGGCTGCATGGTCAGGAGCAGCTGCAGAAGTGACAGTCATCAGTGAGACTCATTGTTGTGAGGGTGGCTTGTTTTTCATGGGTACAGGTCTCAGTGGTCTACCCGCATGTGTGCCGACACCTTGGGTGACATTCACTGCTCCGCGGGTGCTGAGCAGTGAGGAGGACACAGACCCGGGGAAAGACACGGCCTTCAGCCTTCCTCTGAAAGGCGGAGGGAGGTTAGGCCTCTGGGCCTCTGGAGCTCTGGCCTCCAGCCTGCGGGCCCACCGTGCTCTGTCTGCTGCGCTTCGCCTGTGCGCTGTTCCGTTTCCTCCCAGGCACGCGGGTCTGCAGTGCGTTTGCACTCCGTGGCCCACCCTGCGCACGGCTCTGAGCTCGGCGACGGCTTCCAGCCTGTGCCCCTCAGCTAGCGCTGGGTGGTCTTGGCCTCCAGTGGCTGTGGCTGCAGCTGCACTAGCAAAGGTGGCGCCAGGCTGTGACGTGAAGGCGATGTGTGGGTGACGCCAACGTCTGACACCAGGTGACGCTGGCGTGTGACACGAAGGTGATGCCACCCTCTGGCGCGTGTGTGACGCTGCCCTGTGATGCGAGGGGACGCCGAGCGTGTCCCTGGCACAGCCGCCCCTTAGCGTGGAGGCTGCAGCAGTGCGGGACGGACGGGAGTCCTGGCCATCCCGCCCTGCCGGTGGGCTGCATTCCTCTCAGAGCCTGGTTTCCCGCGGATTCTGTGCGCTCCGCAGGCCTGGCTCCGCGCTGGAGGAGGAATCGCAGTGTTGACTGTGGACATTGAGGAAGCTCTGGAGAGCAGTTTAGCTCTTGGCAAGTGGAGTCGAGAATGTGGAGGTTCCTCAGAGCTAGTGCCCTCACCCAGCCCACACAGTGACCCTTTGCCGACCTCCTAGACCTCGGGACATTTGTCACAGTTGCATCATTAGCACTGAGCACCTACACTGGTGGTTAATGTTAAGGGTTAGTCTTTTTATTTTGGTACTAGAGGGTTGAACCTAAGGCCACATGCCCAGACTTCTTTTAATTTTTGTGACAAGTTCATGTTAAGTGGCTAAATTGCTGAGTTTCCCAGGCTGGGCTAGAACTTGACATCCTCCTGCCTCAGTGTCCCAGAGTGCTGGTATGGGTTTACCTTTCATGTCTTACCTTGTTTGGGTTTGCAAGTTTATAATGACATATATCCATCATGCAGTATTATACACCAGAATAGTGTCTCACCACAGTAATTTCTTGTTCTTTTTACTTGTTTGTTGTTGTTTTGAGACAAGGTCTCACTATGCAGTTCAGGTTGGCTCACTTTGTAACCTAAGCTGACCTCAAACTTGCAAAGATCCTCTTGCCTCAGCCTCCTGAGTGCTGGGATTACAGATGTGTGCTACCACACCCTGCTGTTTTTTCTCCTTAAAAATTTTATGAAAAAACAAAATTTCATAACCAAATAAGACCACAGCAGTATTTATTACAATGTATCATTTTCAAACCAGTTACTCATAGTACAAGACAGAAGCCAAAAAGATTCTTACAAAAAATATCATGCATTTACTTTTCAATGAATTCTAGTAATATAAATGAAATCAATTGGCATATATATGGAAATATTTTTAAAACAATGAGGTTTGTATTTGGGGAAAGTATTTGAACTTCTCTCTACTTGCTATTTCTTATATTTTGCTCTTTATTTGTATAATTATGTAAGTGTGTATTTGTGTGTGTGTGTTTCTCATGTAAGAAACCATGCAATATTTGAGCTTGTGTCTTATTTCTAATGTGTTTTTCTTTGTGACAGTGTACTCCACTGTGTATAAATACATTTTCCTTGTCTATTTATCTGTTAATTCGATGTACTCAGTTTCTGAGATCTAGCTATTGTGCATTGTGCTGCCATAAACATGGTAATGCATGCATCTCTGTAATATGGTTTCATTCTTTGGGGAAGACACCTAGAAAGAGGAGAGCTGGATCAAAAAGAATTCTTTATAGTGCCCCGAGATAATTCACTGTCTGGATGCATCATGGTTGGGTCCTTCACCTGCATGGGAAATTGGGATTGTTCCCAGGTTTTGATGTTAGGAATAAAGGTGCTGTGGGGTAAGGGGAATCCAAAGGTGTGTGTTTCCTACTACCTACTCTACCCCGCCACAGGTGCTTGTGCTAGCACCTGTGTAGGGTTTGTGTCCCCACACAGCAGGCAGCCAGATTCTGGATGGGCATGGCCCGGATCTGCCCTCGGTTCAGTCTGACCCCACCCTGTGGGCTTCTGAAAGTACACAGCTTCTGTTACTGCTGCAGGTCTCTCTCTCTCTCTCTCTCTCTCTCTCTCTCTCTCTCTCTCTCTCTCTCTCTCTCTCATTTTCTCAGTTATTCACACACCCAGGCACCTGTATGTTCAGGTAGCTGAAAGCACTCAAGACTCAGTTCATGTGGGTTTCTATGAAACATCTTTACCAGGTGCAGTTGGTTTTTAAATTATTGCCACTGCTGACAGTCTCCAACCTCTGATCATGCGTTGGTGTTTCTGGTGACCCGATCCCATTCTAAAGATACTGAAGGGCCACCAGCCATAGGTCCTCTGTCATACAAGAGATGTTTATCACTTCAGATATCCCCAGGCTTTTAGAAGCTAGATAATAGGAAGTGAAGAGGAAGACTCAATAGGTATTTGATTGTATCACAGCTGCTGTAACCACATGTGTGCTGGTTTTTGCTGTGAATATGTGTTCAGTGTCTTGGATAAATTGCTCTGGAGCACAACTGCTAGGTAAGACAACATTTAATTGTGTAAGAAACTTCCAGGGCAGTTGCACCTTTCTGCCTACCCAGTAGTGGTGAAGAGGAGCCCTGTTGCTCCTCTATTCTGTTGTCAGTGTTTTGGATTTTGGCTGAACTAATACATGAATAGAGATCTAATACTGTTACTTTGGCAGTTCTTAAACAATGAGTGGCGAAGGTCTTTTCATGCATTCATTTGCCATCTGTATATTTTTGTTGGTGCCAGTGTGTATTCAGACCTTTTTCCATGTTTATTTGATTGTTGTCTGTTGTTGAATTTTGGAGTTCTTTGTATATTTTAGGTAACAGACATTGGAATCACATGTATCTTTTGCAATTTATCTTCTTATGCTTGCCATTGTCTTTCACCAAAGAGAAGTTCTTAATTTTAATGAAGTTTGGTTTATCAGTGATCTCTCTCATTGATTTTGCTTTTGGTGTTCTATCTAGAAAGTCATTGCTATAACACAGATCACACCTAGGTTTCCTAATGTGTTTTTTAAGGAATTTTGTAAGATTTTGATTGATTTTTAGGATTATGGTCCATTTCAAGGGTTTGTTTTTGTTGTTGTTGTTGTTGTTAGCGGATATTAAACTCATAATCTCACACGAGGCAGACGCTTATACTACTGACCTAAATCCCTAGCCCTTCGACTTAATTTTTATAAAGCATGTTATTTTTTATATGTGAATGTCTAATTTCAGCACTGTTTGTTAAACTAGCAAAGGCATCATTCCATTTTACTGTATTTGTCATATTTAATGTTAGCTAGACGTTACCATCACAAAGAAATTTTTCATTAGTTTTTCTGTAAAACTTTTATCAGAGGAATGTAGTATGTAATTTGCTACTTACATTTTAAAGTATACTTTTAAGCTAAATAATAACTCCCTTCATTAAGCCTCTGCTGTGGGCTGAGAACTTCCATGTTTTACTTCTCCACTTTGAAAATCCTGCCTCTCTTCTCCCACAGCTGCAGTTCGAGGGAGCCTCCCTGCAGACTACAGGTATGGAGCAACCTGCAGCCCAGCCCCAGTCTGAAGGCCTGGAGCAGAAACTGGCGTCTACTGAGAAGGATGTTTCGCAGCTCAATGACTTTCTCACACAGAGGATAAGCCAGTTCGGTGAGGAGAGAAAGAAGCTGGAGGAGAAGGTAGGAGTCTTGGCAGTGGTGTTGCATCAGCAGTACCCTTAGGAGAGGAAGTTGTCCTGCACATGTACCAGGCTCCGCTGGTACACCTTGACACCCAGGGATTAATCTTGTGCATCTTCTGTGAAGCCCTGAAGGTTTCTTTCATCCAGGGATAGAAACTTCTGTGTGTCACCCAGTCACTTGCCCCCACAGTGGCTGTCTTCCTCATTGGCCTGTTGTCCCGTGTCTTTGTCCTGTCCCAAAGCCCTGGAATGAAACGGAGTGGCTGTTGATCTGTTAGGACATTACTGAATTATTAAGCTGGGATGAGAAGCTAAAAGCCAAATACATGCACAACACACACTTCCTATGTATATATTTGACTTTCCTACTATTACTAAAATTGTTTTTCCATTTTCACCTCAGTCCCCATTGTAGTATCATTAAAGATGGAGGACATTTATAGTTCCCAGGTTATTGAAGAGGCACAGATCCTTGGGTAGCTTGGTGGCAGGAGTGGTTGCAGAATTCCTTGTTACTCCCAGCTAGTTGTTTCATTAGGTCAGCCTTCCATTCATGTGACCCTGGAGCAGCTGTGATTTCTGCAGTTTGACAATGTAGTAATACATGGTTCTTTGAGATTTGTGTGTGTGGTGTGCATGCATGTGCATATGCATATACGTACATGTGAGTTGGAATTTTTATCTTTAAAGGTGACAGAAATTTTATGTGCTGTGTTTTGGTCAACTGTCTGATGTCTTTTATTTTGGCTAATTTACAAGTTCCTTAAAGATGCCTTTATCATTTCCTTTGTGTGTTTTGAAGACTTCATATAGTATATGTAATCCCAGGGAGCAAGGAATATGATTATTGTGTGCTGCAAAACATACTAATAAAAATTAAATGCAGTATATTTCAGGTGGTAAAGTTAAAAAAATGTACTACTTTGTCATCTACTACTAGATGGTTCTATTACTAGTGGTTCTGTTCTGTTACCTAGTAACTTTTTAAGAATTTTTTGTTTGTTTGTTTGTTTTTTGGGTCTTTTCGAGACAAAGTTCAGGCTGGCCTTGAACTCACAGTGATCCACCTGCCTCAGCCTCTTAAGTGCTGGGTTATAGATGTACACCACCACGCCTGGCACCCAGTAACTTTTTTTCATTGTCAGATTATAATATTTTAAAAGTCAGGACCAGGAATGTAGCTCAGTGGCACAGTACCTGCAGGCAGGCTCAAGGCTCTGAGGTCAGTTCCCAGTACCAAAAACAAATACAAAAAAACTCACTTAGACTCAGTGCATAGTTTTAGCATGAAATAACACTGTGGAAACCATCAAGGTGTGGGCAGCTTTGGCCACTTAAGTGTGTGGTGACGAGAATGTGTCATTGCTGGGCTCTTAATTTGTCGTCAGTTGTAAAAGCACAGACAGACACTCCGCTCTTGATTGCAGTGTTACAAACATTTGAAGGAAATGTGAGTCTTAGGAAAAGTTGGGTTCGTGATGGTCGTCACTGCTCCATGGGGTGTGGGTGAATTCACTGGCGCCTGCGGCTGAGATGTTAGTTTTGTGATTGTTGTTCAGTGACTCGACACTGCCAGGCACTCATTATCCCTTTTCTTTAGCTTAAAACCAGAGACAGATACATCAGCAGCTTGAAGAAGAAATGCCAGAAGGAATCTGAACAAAACAAAGAGAAGCAAAGGAGAATTGAGACCCTGGAAAAGTACCTGGCAGATCTTCCAACTCTGGACGACGTGCAGAGCCAGAGCTTGCAGGTAATGTGGGATACAGTGCTCACTCCCAAGACCAGTTCATTTCAATATTGGTCCTCTAAGGGCACTGGCTCATTATAAATTCAGTGTGCTTTTTATTGCCGTTAGAGTTTAACTTGAATCGGGACCTTGACGCATCTAAGCCAAGAGATCTCTGACTGATTAATACGTGTTTCCTGTCCTAAGGAAGCAGTGGTAGTCCCCTCACTCTGGAAAGTAATTTCCCAAGCAGTCTGATTACCCTGCCCATGCACACAAGACCCCACTTGTATGTGTCTCCATGTTTTCTCTGAGATCCAGGACTCTCATGACTTTGGGTTGAGCATTTGAGGGATGCTTCATTCATTTCTAACCTTTCCATCAGTTTTTTTAAATCTTGGTTTAAGAAATGACCTCTGCTCACTTTTATGACCTGTTTTTCTTTTTTTGCAATGCCTCAGTCAAAGACGTGCCTCCAAATCTACTCAGATTCTAGCTTCTTGGAACCTTAGTTATAGATCCATTAATTTACTATTCTGACTTCTCAAAAGCTTTCTGACTAGATTTTTAATCTTAGCACTGTTGGCTGTGGTGGGAGACAGTTTTATGCAAGGGGTCTGCCCTGTACCTTGCATCAGTCAGGCCCTCTAGGTGACACTAACACTTTTTTCCTTTTTACCCTGCTGTGAGCAGTCTTTCCACATGTTCCCTGGGGAAAAACCCAGCCAAATGAGAATCATTGCTCTAATTCATGGAATGCTGTTAATTTGCATACTTTAAAATTTGCGTTCTTTTACTTTACATTAAATTAATTTATAAATTATAAAACTAAGACAAGTTAAAATCAGGAAGGAATTCAAAAACTGCAGAGAAAACATGCATGGGCAGAAACAAGAAAGTAACATAGACTGAAAATGCAAGATCATACCACCCTACATGAAGCTAAACATTTGTAATATTAGACACAAGAGTCAAAAGCTTGAATTAGTGCAGGTACCCATGAATGGATCAGTAAAAACAAAAGGTGCTGTACCTTGCAATGCAATACCCTAAGCATGGAGGAATTTGGACTAATGCCACAACTTGGGTTAAGCTGGAGGATATTTTGAGATTAGTAAAGACAAATGCTGCATGATTCTGCTTACATGGGGTGCGAAAGCGGTCAAATTAGTAACAAAATGTAGCCTGGGGGTTTGCCAGGAGATGAGTTGAAAGATAGAATGGATGAACAGTTATTGGCTGGGTAGAGTTTCACTTCTGCAAGGTGAATTCTAGTTTGACATCAGTTTGAATGACTTTAGCACCTCTGAACCATGCACTTGAAAATGGCTAAGATGCTAAATCTAATGTGTGTTTTATTATAATTTAAAGAATAAAAAGATTATTAACTTTTTTCTAGAAATTTCTAACCATACTCTTCCACAAAAAAGGAGTGTTAAATCCTCAATTTGAAATGAATATAATGTGATATTAGCAGTGAATCTGTTATTCTTGAGAACCATGTTAATTTCTAATAGAAACATTTAACTCTCCATGTGTTATGAACTGCATAAAATTTCTTCTTAGCTGCAGGTTCTAGAAGAAAAAAATAAAAATTTGCAAGAGGCTTTGATAGATACAGAAAAAAAGCTTGAAGAGATCAAAAAACAATGTCAAGACAAAGAGACACAGTTAATATGCCAGAAAAAGAAGGAAAAGGAGTTAGTAACTTCCATTCAGAGGTAAGAAGACTTTAGGAATCCTTTTACCTCATTCTTAAGTCATTTGTATTTGTTTTTATTTTAAATGTAGTAAAATCCAACAAAACAAAACAGAACAAAGCCAATCAATACAAAGCAGCAAAACTGGTGGTACAGAACTTCAAAGCAGGATACCAGGAAAACAACAGTAGCTGCCTTAGTAGACCTTGTTATCTTCACAAGATGTCCACTCCATCAGGTATAGCAAAATCAGCCCAAAAACTAAACACAATAAAACTAATCAAAACAGAATATTGAGTAAAGCAAAAACAATCAGAACAGAAAAATACTGGGTTTCAAAGACAAAAAGAAAGAAATCCCCATATTTGCTATATTATGTACTGTCATTCTCCGAAGAGATGCTCAGACCTCTGGCCTCAGGCCTGCATAGTCAACCAAACAATACAAGCATTTAGTTTATTTATGTACTTTGGTTGTTATCAACTCAGCCTGTCTTCCAAAACCGTTTGTATTTTTTAAGCATTTCATTTAAAACAATTTGTAATTATTATTACAGATTGTTCTTCTTAAAGGTGTACTGTTAAGAATCAGAAATATGCTGGGGATTTAGCTCAGCAGCATAAGCGCCTGCCTTATAAGCACATGGTCATGAGTTCAATCCCTGGTACCGAATTTAAAAAAAAAAAAAAGTAAAAAATAAAAACCAAAAAATCAGAAATAGAATTTCATTGATACAGTTAAAATTCATTTGCATGCATCTTTCCAAAGGTTTTAGATGAGAAGAGTAAAAATGAAAAAGAACAAAATTGACAGTTGAAGACTGCACAATTAAGTAAAAGCTGATAGCTTTGTCAGAAAACTTCTAAATAATGGAAGAAGGGGCCAGCAAGATGTGCTGCCGCCTGTGGCCGTGCCCCAGACAGTGGTGACTGCAGGACTCTCAAACAGCCCACACATGCAGCATCTCTGAGTTAGTGCAGCTAGGAAATGGTGGAGAGGATGTGTAGTGTTTTTAGGGTATGTGTTTAAGCTTGGAAATTTAAGGTTGGATTCCTGAGGAACTTAAGATGCATACATAGACATGGTTTTTGGGGGCAAAACTTAAACCTTTATGCTGTTGACTACAGATAGATGAAATAATCCTGAAAAACATTACAAAGCACCAAAATTAAATGTAAGAAATTCACTTTCCAGATTAGGAAAACAAAATTGCCAGTTACTCCTTGAATAAAGGACTAATATGTAGATTATATAAACAACTCAAAAAATTATACCCTCCCCCCAATAAAAGATCCAGACAAGAAATAGGCAAATGAAATGAATACACTTTTCTCAGAAGTAGCACAAATGGTCGGTAGATACATGAAAAAATGTTCAGTATCATTGGCCATTAGAAAAATGCAAATTAAAACAGCACAGATTTCATTTTACTTCAGAAAGAATGGCTGCAGCCACTAGCTGCAGCTATAGATAACTCGAATTCCCTGAGGGAAGGACTGCCAGAAGATGAGAAAATAAAGAGGAGACAAAGCTGGGCTCAGGTGGAGCCCTTACCCTCCTCATAGGAGGGAAGCAACTGCTCAACCCTTGTAGCACATTTATTTATACCCTCCAAAGAAGACTGTCAGCTTCAACCCCACTGCCTAGCAACGTGTTTTCCTGGCCAGCCTGGGCCCCTTGTCTTCTTGGCGCTGGAACAGCTTTTTCATGTGGCTGGTTTTGAGCTCTCTGTGTTTTCAGGGATGGCCTTGCTTTAGCCCCACACATGTGATAAGTCTCCAGCTTCAAGGGCTCCCTACAAACAGTCATCATCAAAACCTCAAACAATAACAAATGCAGTTGAGACTGTGGAGAAAAGGAACCTTTCTACATTATTGGTGGAAGTATAAACTTGTATATTTAAAATTCAATAGGAAGATTCCTTAAAAAAACTAGAAATATCAGCCCAGTTATTCCTCTTATAGGTTTATTCCTGAAAGAGTTCAAGATTGCTATTACAGGGTGACACATGCTGACCTGTGTATAAGCAGCACAGTAGTTAGATCTTAGAAGCAGCTTATAAGTCCACCAATAAATGAATGGATAAAGAGAATGGGGAATTTATGTATAGTGGAGTATGTACTATTATGATATAAAGAAGGATAAAGGTAGGCATGAGGTTGTGAGTTTGATCCCTGGTACCAAGAAAAAAAAAAAAGAGATAAACTTCAGTCATTTGTAGGAAAGCAGATGTACTTCATAACCATGATGCCAGTGAAATAAATCAGACACACACGCTTAAATGTAACAGTTTTTCTTGTGTAATAAAGCCAAAGTACAAATAAAGAGCAGAATCAGAGACAGAAAATAGGAAACAGGGCGCGAACTCTTGCAAATGGGAAGAGCATCTAGAGATAGAAGGAGGGGAAGGGGAGAGAAGGTTAATTCTTTTTGTGTATGTACCAACTCCCTATATTACATGCAGTTATTATGAACTGCAAAGGTACTAATAAACACAAGTCAATGAAATGCCTTTGTGTTTACATAATTATAAACTCAGTATATTCACCTTTTTTTTTTTTTTTTTTTTGGTCTTTTTCCTTTTTATCGGTACCGGGGATCGAACTCACGACTGCCTGCTTGCAAGGCAGGCGCTTACGCCGCTGAGCTAAAACCCCAGCCCCTGTATATTCACCTTTTAAAGCAGTCCCATATGATTTAGTACACATTTCATGTAATAGTGCTTTCCTCCTGCCGAATCTTAAATATACCTGGTCTATCCTTTTAAAATGATTTTTTAGATGCTGAAAAAAGTTCTCATTTCCAGGGTAATTCAGTCTTCAGCATGCCTTACCTCAGCTCCAAGGAGTCACATACCTGCGATTTGGTCTTATTTTCTGCCGATTCTTCAGTTTCCCTTTTGTGTAACTCTGTACCTTATACCAATTCCTTAGTCTCAAAACAGCTTCCTGATCCTCAGGAATTGAGCCGTGGTTTTCCTTTCACCTTCACTGGTAAAAAGCAGACACCATGTGTCTGTCCTGTGCTGTCAGCCCCGCCACCCCAAACCAAACTGTGTAGCTGCATGTGTTCCATTCCACTGTGTGTTTTTACATACGCAGGTTTTTGTTTCTTCTATGTAGACTTCCTTTTATGTAGGCTTTTGGAGCACACTTAAGTCTGGAATTCTTGGTTTGGGAAGACTTGGTACAGTGCATTTCAGAAAATATTGCTAACTTTTGACTTGACTTGATGTAGTCTGAGATGGCGTCATTCTAGAATTTTCTGTTGCTTTTTCACATGGAGGCACAGAGCAGAGAAGCATACGTGTCGTTCTTCAGCACTGTGGTGGTGTGTCACAACTCTGGTGGTTTGGGTGTAGTCTCCACTTCCTCGTAACTTCAAAAACTTATGTGACAGGAACTGTATCATAATATTTAATCATTGTGTGTAATTCTGTGATTCGTGCTTCATGAATTCCTCAGAACATTTGGGGTTTATAAGTTAAGAAAAGTACTCCACCAGAGATGTTTGGACAGTAGTAGTTATGCTGCTGGAAGAATGTATTACAGGACATGGATGCCAGTGTAAAGGGGAATATTTTTGCGATGTTTTTTCTCTTTACCTTAAAGACTATTATTTTTAGTGCATTTTATCTCTTGAAATGTCTTGAAATGCTTTAAGTGTATGGAAGATAGTATCTTGACACTGAACTGAGAAAGAACTTAGTCAGAAATAGATATTTTTCACTTTTGGTTAAGAAAGCAAATACTTTATGATAACTAACGATACAGAAAAATGTCTCCAGTGACATTATTTATAAATGGGCCTGAAGCTCTTATTGTACCACCTAGGTACAATAAGATTGTTAGTTAAAGAACTAATAAATAGGCCAAGTTTCTTTTGGAGGATGGAAAAAGCTTCAGGTAGGCATAATAATTGGAAAAAGAAAATATCAAAATGCAATTATAAGAAACCTTTTGGTATCCTACAACTCTCGAGTATGATTATCAGCTAAAGCGGGGGCATCTCTAGAATTCTTGCAGCTGTTAATAGTTTGGGTTCTGGCCCTTACTGTTAATGATATGGTTTCTTTGAAACTGAACATTACTGCTGTTCTTTTCTCAAAGCTGGCACTTTCTCTGCTTCCTTCTTTTATGTTTAATGTGCCAGAGGGATTCCTTCTGCTGTTTGTCTCTGCTGCCGGTGCAGCTCAAACCATTTAGCCAAGCTGTAAACACTGTAAAGTGCTGCTCTTGCCAGTGAAGAGGACATGTTATGTTGCAGGCTTAGGTCACCATTGCCCTTACAGGGAAACTGCCGCTGAGCTGACATGCAGGGCCATAGACATGGACCCGTATTCCTAGCTCTTCTTAGAGAAGGAACAACGAGAAGCTAGAGGACAAAATTCGGGGTTTGGCCTATACGTAGAGGTGTCACGTGCTAAGCAACTCTGGTCTCAGCCTTGCCGTTTCTAAGGACATCATCAGCCCCAGATCATTACCGACTTTCCTTGTGTGAAACATGGTTGTGCTTACTCATGTGCTTCCTGTGGGTCTTGATTAAAAAATCTCCTTAGGAGGAACATCATTACGTTGAAGTCATTGGCCCAGATCAATAAATAGAGCTTCTTTTCCTCATACACTGATCTTTCTAAAACAGTTTGCAGCACAAAGTAGAAAGATGCCTTGAGGATGGAATTCGCCTTCCCATGTTAGATGCAAAACAGCTGCAGAGTGAAAATGATGACCTCAGAGAACAAAGCGAGGCGGCCAGCAAGGTGAGCGGGTCCTGGCAGGCAGAGAGTGTGCGGTCGCCTGTGTGATTTCCAGCCTCGCTTATGGGCAAATAGCTTCGAAATTCTTAGTTTGAATGCTTCTATCTGGAAAGAAAATAGCAATTTAAGCAAATGTGATTTATGTTTAAGTAAAAGTCCAGATGAAAGGATACATTTCTTTCCTAAAAAACTGCTAAATTTTTAGACTAAACTGCTAATTTTTTAGACTAAAAAATTTAGTCTAAAAAACTGCACAAAGAAAAGTTTAACGCAAAACTTGCAATTTTTTATGTGTATGATCCAGGTCATGTTGCTAAAGGGTACTTACTGTGAATACCTTTGTAAAATAAATAGACTCTTTTAAAATAAATTTGTAATTCCATACACTTTCCTTTTTTCTTGAAATACTGGTATTTTTAGAAAGCAGTGGGGGAAAATGAAGTGGTTCAAACTGATATGTTTCCTTTGTTTTAGATAATAAGCAGCCAGCAAGATGAAATTAACAAGATGACTTTAGAACTTCAGGTAAGAAGTATTCATCTTTATTCTCATTCAGTGACAAGCGGATTTACTGCTTACATAATGTAAAGGTATTACAGCATATTTACATTTGTATGAAAACATTCATGGCACTTGAGGGAAATTACCAGATCCTTAGTATCCTTTCAGTTTTTCAGAGATTCTGTTCATTAAATAAATTGTACAGAAAGTTGTGAGGCTCATTCTCCCTCCCTTGCGTCACCTGCTCTTTATCAGAAGTAGCATGTCTCTGCTGCTGAGCAGGCATGTGCTGCGGGTCATAGTGACCTGAAAGGACGCGGCTCAGAGCCCCAGCACCTGTTTCGTCTTCACGTAGACGTCCCAGAGGCAGCTCCCACTCCACACTGTCTGGCTCTGGCTCCTCCCCACCCATGGATGTCCCAAGAGCCCATAGTGAACTGCTTTCTTCTGACGGTCTCTTGAATGCTGAGTCCTGCAGGTGTCACTGTCCCCTGGCTGGTTACCCACGGGTCCTACCTAACATCAGGATCTGTGTTGTGCTCTCTTTTTTTCTCCTGATTTTCTGTCTTCCCGTCATGCTTTTCCCACCAGCAGTCTCAGCTCTGTGGGGAGCTTTAAATGATGAAAGTTTAGAAACAGTCTGGTTTCTCTGTACTGTTTGTGGGTTGAAAACCCTGGCTGCAGGTGTGCCACTCCCCATCTAATGTTGCAGCTCCCTTTGCACGCCTGCCCTTGGGGTGCACACTACACTGTGAAGGTGTGCAGCTGCTGTGAAAGTAAATGCAGGAAGTGCTCCATCAGGATCAGTGCCCAGGGTTTCCCCAAACACAGAGACTATCCTCCCAGAAGGCCCCTGGCAGACCCCTGGGAAGAGCTGCCTGCCAGTGGGTGGACCTGACCGCTGTCTCTACCCCACTTCCCTCCCCCCATGATGCCAGGCCCTCCTCTTCCTCTCTTACCAACCCCCAGAGCTTGCCTGTGTGTTTATATCTTTCCTTCTGAGTCTCCTGAGGGTGGGGGCTACACAGCTCATCTGGATGTTAAGAGCTGAGCAGAGCACTTGACACGCAACTCACAGCCCACAGATGTAGAAATGAGAGGACTGCGTTTTGTTGAGTTGTCCGCCACTCACAGAGCCACTGCAGGTCATGGCCTAGTACAGGGTATGTTGCAGGAAAGGAAAGTGATTTAACTTGAAGTCCCGTTGAAGGTTTTTACTACAAAAGTGATACTCCATCTCACTCCGGAGAGAATTGCTGTCAGCAAGAAATCAGCCAATGACAAATGTTGGTGGGGCTGTGAGGAAAAAGGAACCCTTCTCCACTGTTGGTGGGAATGTAGACTGGTGCTACCACTATGGAAATCAGTGTGGAGATTGCTCAGATATCTAGGACTAGAGGTTCCCATCAACCGAGTTATTCCCCTTTTGGATATCTTGCCAGAAGAATTGAAAACATCATACCACAGTAATGTATGTGCACCCATGTTTATAGCAGCACAATCTGAAATAGTTAAATCTTGGAAACATATGCCCATCAACCATGGAATGGATAAAAAAAAGATGGGGTCCTTTTATACAATGGAGCACTACTCAGCCATAAAAAATACATTTGAGACATTTATAGGTAAATGTATACAACTTGAGACCATACTCTTAGGTGAAATAAATCAGACTCACATATGTAAACATCGTACTGTCTCCTTGTGTGAGAAACTGAAATAAAGACTGAGATGTACGATGGATATTGTGAAATGGGAGACCATACTCTTTTTATTTAAGAGGAAAAAGAGAAAAACACAAAACAAAACAAAGCGGTGTAAGGGTACACGTAATACATAACTACAAAAAAAAAATAACAGTAAGAAATCACCTGTTAGTAGATTACATATTATCATCTTGAAAATAGTTGCTCAAATCACAGTATCAAAGAATACAAGGTGGACATTCAAACAGGGAGACTGCAAACAGCTGTGTTCAATGATCCAAAAACATTGATATAGTCAGCTATTTAACACCCCTAAACACACTTGCTGTTATATCCGTTAGAGCTCTTTTTCTTTTTTCTTTATTTTCCCTCTCTTTTTTACAACAAAATTTACACATTTTGGATTTTATTACTCCTTAGTGCTTATTACTTTTTTGGGGGGGGAGAGAATACAGTCAAATATGGCAAAACAAAGCTGTCAGTCAAAACCAAGGATAGACATAGCACATGGTGTAGAACAGAGTACAAGGTTATCAACAATGGTTATCAACGTTGTCTCTTGTTTCCTTAAAAAGAATTGTCTATCTCATTAGATATTATAAAGTTGGACAAAACAGTAGAGAACAAGACCAATAAAATTTAGGCATTGTAAACATTACAGGACTTCCAAAGAAGACAATAGTCAAACCAGAATGGGTATCTTAGTGAATCTTATTGCCTTCAAAGTAGTTGCCTATGTCTTCAAACTTGATACTATCATATAGAATGGAACAGAGTCTAATCAGTCAAAACAAGATCGTGGGAGTATTACAGGACTTCAAAACAAGTTAATAGGAAATCAAAAAGAGTTACTATTTATATATCCTAATTTTTTAAATTTTTTCTTTAATTAAGACAAACATAAGAAATGACTAAATAATTTTTTTTAAAAGAATAAGGGGGAGATTGAGATAAAACAGGACGTAATAATATAACAATAGAGGTCAAAGCATGACTGTTTCAGCAACCTAGTACTTCACCACCATATAACCCAACTTAATAGTAGTTACCATAGTGTCTGTCTTTTTCCTTGAAATATTTGGATAAAACTTCATATACTCTAGCTTCAAATATTTCCATATCAAGAAGCCCAGAATAAAGCCTTTCTAATTAATGAGTGAAACCTTTATAAGGCTTCAAGGCCACCTAATGGGGAATCATGATTACCACATATTTTTATATATTTGAATCATTACTTACATTAGGGAAACTATTCGGTATTCACACATGCGAGATTGATTTATTTCACTTATGTGTATGGTCTCAAGCTGCGCCCATTTATTGATAAATATCTCAATGTGATCCTTCTTTATAGCTGAATAATACTCCATTGTATAGAAATACCACAACTTTTTTATCCATTCCTCAGTTGATGGACACTTGGGTTGTTTCCAAGATCTGGCGATTACAAATTGTGCTGCTATAAACATAGGTGCACATATATCACTGTGGTATGATGCTTTCAGTTCTTCTGGGAATATGCCTAGAAGTGGAATAGCTGGAATAAATGGGATTTCCAGTCCCAACTTTTTGAGAAATCTCCAGACAGATCTCCACAGCCACCAGCAGTGCAGGAGAGTTCCTTTTTCCCCACAGCCTCTCCAGCATTTGTTGTTGTTGGTTTTCTTGATCCTGGCCATTCTTTCAGGAGTGAGATGGTATCTCAGTGTGGTTTTAATTTGCATTTCTCTAATGACCAATGATGATGAGCATTTTTTCATGTATTTATTTGCCATTTGCATTTCTTCATCTGAGAATTGCGTATTCATCTCAGATGCCCATTTTTGGATTGGATCTTTGAATTTTGGAGGTCTGAGTTTCTTTAATTCTTTATATGTTTTAGACAAGAGGCCCTTGTCTGAAAAAGAGTTCACTAAAATCTTTTCCCAGTTTGTGGGTTTTCTTTTCACTATGCTGGAGATTTCTTTTGACATGCAGAAACTTTTTAATAAGAAGTGGTCCCAGTTATTGATTCTGGGAAGTATTTCCCGTGCGGTTTGAGTCCTGTTCATGAATTCTTTACCTACTCCTATGGGGAGACCATACTCTTAAGTGAAATAAATCAGACTCACATATGTAAACATCGTACTGTCTCCTTGTGTGAGAAACTGAAATAAAGACTGAGACGTACGATGGATATTGTGAAATGGGAAGAAACCGTTAGAAGGAGAGGAGCTAGGATGAGGGAGAGGGAGAAGGATGGGAGGGGAAAGCACAAAAATGCAAAATAGCTGTACAACAGTGTACCCTGGTTCACTGAAAAGAAAGGTTTATGCTAACATCTTTTATGGGGCTCCAAAGTCAGTGGGAGATATTGAAGATAATACACAGTGTATTCTCTTATTTTGTTTTGAAATTTTTTTTTCCATAAATAAATGAAGTACACACAAAAGAAGAAACCCTGTAACTTCTTTGGTTTCTTTTCTTTTCTGAGAGGTGGTTGCTATGTGATTCAGGTCGGCCTTGAACTATGTTGCCTTGGTTGGCTTCAAACTCCCGGCAGTCCTGCCTCAGAGGTTACAGGCATGCTTCTGTCCCTTGTGCGAATTTGTAGCCTAGCCTCAGCAGTATGAATAACTAGTCTGTTTCCTGTCCATAAACTTGCCTCTTCTGGACACTTAGCGTGTGTGTGTGTGTGTGTGTGTGTGTGTGTGTGTGGTCTGTAATTTTTCTGATCATATCCAGCTATCAAACGCTGCTAGCTGCCACCTGCGCTTTTCTCCAGTGCTGGGCACTGAAGCCAGGCCCTTAGCACTGGGCTATGGCCCAATCTTTTTTATGCATGTTTTTGAGACCATGTCTCAGTTATGGAGGCTGGTCTCAAACTCGGAGTCCTCCTACTCCAGCTGTCCTTGTTTTAGGCAACACACTGTGACCTCAGTTGCTTCCCAGATTGCCCCCTTCCAGTGACATTGCAGGGCTCTTCCTTCAGGGAGCAGTGAAGCTGCACTCTTCCCCTTGGAGGCAGATTCCCGGCTGAGGGTTAGCTCTGGGGATGGAGCCAGCCTGTGTGTTCAGTATCCTGATGGCTCGCACTGATCTCAGTCCAGGGGAAGGTTGAGAGGGAGAGAAGACAGCTCTGGTGGCTGTGCCCGCAGAAAGGTGACAGTGGCCTGCTCTGCAACAGCAGACGTGCTCAGAAATGCCTTCCTTCTCTCCATGGCAGAAACAGGCTGGAGGTACTGAGCCTCCAGCTGGCTGCTGGCTTCCAGTGCATGCCCTGGGCGCTACTTCTGGCTGCGCGCAGGTGAACAACCCTGAGAGAGCAGTGGGGTTGTGCAGGTCTCTGGCCCGCTCCTGCGAAGACCGCTGCCTTGGGACAGAGGTCTTTACAGGAAGTCTTTTCCCGAGCCTGACACCCTTCTAAAGAGGAGCCCAGACAGCTTGGCTGTTCCCTGGGAATACCTTGTGCTAGGACTGCAGATGTGTCTCTGGGTAAAATCCGTTGTAACACACTGCAGATGCTGGTCTCTCCTCAGACTCTTGAAAGGCCCCTGGTTTTCTCCACTGACTCAGGAGCCCCACATAATCTGCTTCCTTCCTTGTGATCCCCTTCAACTGACTTCAACGTTCATACTTACTATGGCGTTCGAGCTTTTATGTCAGATGCAGGCCCACGGCCCCAGGCCCTTTGCCCTAGCTGAACCTTCTTTCTGGATATTTGAAAACACCGTCTCTTGTGCCTCAGAATTTAATTAAAATGCCACTTTCTGCTCAAGCCCTTCTCTGTCCCCCAAGATGTTAGCATCCTTTTCCTGACCACACGTGGTTCCCCCACATGGTTACTCACCTACAGTCCTATGCAGAGTCTCTTGCTTTCCCGGTTCACCAGGATGGACAGTGTTACACAGTTGAGGGCATGAAGGGGCACCCGGGCAACTGCATAGGACACAGTGTGTATGTGTGCACGCAGGCGTGTGTGCGGTGAGACAGCGTGAGCCTCTCAGGACACTTCCTCCTGAGTCGCTCGCTGAAGGTGGAGAAGCGTGCCTGCCGGTTCTGTTCCCTTACTTGGAGCAACTCGCGTGGGTGCATTGCCTGGCGTTCACACCAGACTGCGCATGTGCCCAGCCCTGCTTTTTAACTCAGAAGCGATCCTGATAGGCTCGTGACTTAGAGAATGTGTTAAATGCTCACCGGGAATGTGAGGAAGGCTGTAGACACTGGACACAATTCAAATTTTTATTAATCCCCGACAGACCTGTTCAGTGAGCCACCCACGGGTTGTTAATGTGATTTCACAAAGCCCAAAATTTATCACAGAAGAGAATGCATGCAGGTCATTTAATTTCTGTGTAGAACAATGGCACCATTTTGAACAATTCTTTTTTAAAAAAAAATCTTAGATCTCAAAAAATGCTTTGCAAAATCCTTTGTGAAATAACATACATTATTCATTCTTGGCAGAATAAACTGAAATGTCTCTTAGGTTTCCTGTCTAGTACACATTGAAAGTAACACTTGGTATCATGGATTAATGTGTCAGAATATATTGTGCATTTGAATTTATAAATACTAATATGTATTTCAAACACTTGTGTGAATTTTAGGTAAAATACCAAAAAGGAACTGTTTACTACTTGTTAATAGAATGCTTTAAAAGAGAGAGAGGGCTAGAGAGCGCTGGTGTTGGGAACTGCTGGAACTGCGCTTCATGTTGGAGAGTTGGCTTAGGAATCAGATTGTGTTCTATGTTGTCTTCATTTGAGACCATAAGAAAACTAGTTAAAATTTTTTCTATTTTTTTGCTTATCCCTCAGAAGTATGCTTTTTCATACAGTTTAAGATAAAGGAGTAAAGTTGAGTGGCGTGTTACTGTCAGCCAGCCTATGGCCCTACCTCACCCGGGTCAGCCCAGGACTGCACATAGCCTGAGCTCTGCTGCCTGTGCGCTTCTCCTGTATTGAACTGCTCTCACGTTTCCTTGAGCCTGGCCCGAGACTTGTGAGCTTGATGCTATTTCCTGAATCCAGTTTCCTCCTTTGGACAAGTGGCCCTATGGCACACTTGTGACTGATTCCCATGCAGAGAACTGCCCACTTCCTTGCTGATTTAAATTCAGTCTCTTGTGGAAACATTAGTAGCTAATTATCGCATTCAGCATGATGCTGAATGATCATAATATTACAGCATTATGGAAATAGCCCTCTTTCTGTTCAATTTTCATTACTAAAATACAAGTTATAAAAAGTAGTTTATCTGTGATGCTTTTTTATGTAATTCTAATAAACAATCACAAACATTAAGAATGTTAGGTTGAATTCTGGATTACAGCCACATAATATCATCAGGCCAGAAATTATAAATATTCAGCTAAGTAAATAAATCTCCATACAGTGTTCAATTAGATGCAACCAGGAAAGAATTTATGGGCCCAGAATTTATGTGCTCTGTAAGTGACATGGGTTGTTTTAGAAGGTTTGTGGTTGTTTATTAGAACTATACAAGAAAAGAAACTGTTTGGAGCTTACAGTTCAGTAATGAAAATTAAGAGAAGGGGAGTGTACTGCCCCCCAGCGTGTGCTGCGCATCTTTTTACCCCTCTGCCGTCTTCCGCAGCTGGCAGAGCCAGTGTTACTGGCTGCTGCATTAGATCAGCAATTCCGTCTCCGAGCTCCATGCTTGGCTTGACGTGGTTGCTGCTGTTGTTGTCCTAGTCCATCCAAGGGAAGCTTTCTAAAGAGAAGTTGACCACACAGAAGATGATGGAAGAGCTGGAGAGGAAAGAAAGAAACTTCCAGAAATTAACAGAAGTACTGCTTGAGGTGAGTAGGAGAAACCTGGATTGCCTGGGAGATGATCCACAGCTCTTTCAACCAAGGCTTAGTTTGTATAAATTAATAGAATACTTTTTAAACTGGAGCTTGATTGTTACGTGCCAGATAATTAAATCTGTTAGGACTAAATCAGATAGGAACACAAACCTTTCTTTTTCTTGTATCTCGGAGTACAGTTGTACAGACTTCACTCCAGCCAAGTCAGATGCTATGCAGAGTTAGGCCCCAAACTGAGAAAATAGGGCACAAGTGGAATACAAACAAAAGCACCCTTGAAAGTCCATTGAGAAGGGGGGTGGGGTTTGGTGGTGGTGGTAGCCTGCCACAGGAACAGACACCGCCTCCACAGTGTGAGATGGAGGGCTGGGCTGTGTTGAGCACGCACACCAAAATACATACTTTGCTCACATTTCACCCTTACCTGCCAGAGAACACAGTTCCAAAGGGTAAGTACATTTTCCTCAGTAGCTGTAATTGTCATACCCGACTGGAGTAATGATTCCTTGGCATGTGAGGCTGCCCAGGCTCTACTCAGATTTCCCCACTCCACACATACTTTTTAGTGGCATTGCAAACAAATTTAATCAAGGACTACTCATTGCATTTGATTGTAGTGTCTTATAAACCCTCAGGTCCCTGTATTTTAGCAGTGTATGCTTGGGAAGCCTTTGGGATCTGGCACTGGGGTATGTGGCATTGCTAAAGACTGGAAGCCCATTTTTCTCAGACTTGTAAATTGCCCCACCTTGTAGGTTTGTCTAATTGCTTCCTCCTGGTTGTTACTCATCTTATTCTTTCCCTTTTATTTCTTGAAGCTGCACTTCAGAGCTAAAGACCTCATGAAACTCACGTCACATTTTTGAGGGGGTAAAAATACATTGTTGAATGTTGCTCACCTAATCGGATTGTACGGTGTCCAGGCATGTACACAATCCGGTTGATCATCACGTGGTCAGGTGGTACAGTGTGGCCCCTCATAGTTCGGGCTGGCCTCGAACTCATGTGTAGCCCAGGCTGGCCTTCAACTTGCAGGAGTGGCTAATGCTGGGGTTACAGGTGTGTACCACCCACTGTGCCTGCCTAACATGGAGACAAAGTAACTACAAAGCAACTAATTACTACTTTCACTAGCAACAAAATTACTGAATGAGGCTGAAAGTGTCCTGAAGTTCTTTTTTGTCCTTAAAATAAGTCTCATTTACAGGACAATGGATGTGTAACCAAGATGTTTGTGATAAGAGAAACCCTTAAAACCTGAGACTGCTTGGCTTTAATGCTTTTTCTCTTGGGCTTACTCTAGGGTGTCAGGAAGAACCATTTCCATCATATACACCAGTCTTTTTCTTTTCTCCCTGCTGTGTGTGCAGTTGGTTTGTGTAATGCATGCACGTGAAACATTTGGTAATGGACTTCTGTTCATAGACTCGGGAACTGTCAGCCTGCATGGCTTTGAGTGCCTTTCCTCTATGCTAACAGCTGATATTTGGATCCATTGCAGAACCACAGACAGACAGAAGAGTCTCATTCTCTGCTAGGCCAGGGTGAGGAGTCAGAGCCTCCAAGGCAACAGCCGGGGCCTCCCACAGCGCCACTCTCCGACCTGGCAGTGATCGATCAGCTCTTCAAGGAGATGTCCTGCTGCCTGTTCGACTTGAAGGCACTGTGCAGTATTCTCAACCAGAGGGCCCAGGGCAAGGAGCCCAACCTCTCGTTACTGCTGGGAATCAGGTGTAAGTGGTTCAGTCATTAGAAAACCCGTCTTGGTGAACCAGGAGCTCTGCCTGCCCTCCCCTTTACTCTGTTCCTGCTTTCCTTTCTGGAGGCTGTGCTTTAGCCACTCTCTCCTAGAATGGCCTCATTGCTTTACAGAAGTGGCCAGGGGCCACAGCCACAGCATATATGGAGGCTGTCTGGCAGGAGCCTTGGCTCAGTCTGAGACCATGTGCCTGGACTTCTGGCTGCTTTTTGAGAAGCAGTAGTGTTTCCGTTGGTGTCCACATGATACTTGTGTAGTTCAACACGTTACTGCCAGCCTGAACCACCACTGTTACCTGCATGGCTGTCTCACTGGACATCTTGTACCCCAGCCTGTGCTGCCTGTGGGACGGTTGTGCAAGGACCACTGGTGGTTCAGAGCCCCCCGCAGTGACATGAGTGACGGCCAGTTGGTCACTGGTACAGTATTTGCAGGATGATGACTGCTTGATTCTCAGAGGCTCAGTGCAAGTACAGTGCTTTCCCAGGAACTGGCTCCTAGCCACTTCTGTTGTGCAGACCCCTCGGCATCGCCCCTTCCCAGGACTCCCAGGCCTCAGCCAGTGGGAGCCCTTCGTGCTCCTTGCCACCAGTGGCTCCACATGGGTAGGGCATTGACACACAGGTCTGTAGCGGAGCAGAAAGGGACTCTGGGAAGAGGGTGACCACTCTGAGAGATGGTACGTTCTTCTGATAGGGCTGGCTTTGCCTCCAGTCTCCTCAGAGAAATTCTGCTGTGGGCAGAACCAGTACCAACTCTCAGTACGTGGTGAGGGGAGTCCCTGTGCTCAGCTTCCCCCTGCTCAGAGTGTGTGTGTAGACAGCATGGGTGCAAAAGCCCCTGAAGACTGAGAGTGTTCGCTCACTTGGCATTGGGCACTGGGGCTGCAACTGGGCTGGGCACAGCCTTGCCTGCTGCACACAGACTGAGTGAGCATGCTGTGGTGCACCTGGCATTGCTGTGGAGCCAGGGACCACAGGGCTGCAGGGCAGAGCAGAGAGCGCTGCTGGGGAAGGCGGAAGGCCCAGCGCGCTGGTGCTGCTGTGGCTCTTCCAGCAAGATCAGGCATCGGCCCTGGGAGTTGGGGTGCTGTGGTCGGACATGGCCTTGGGACAAGAAGTGAAGGGCCCCTGCCCCATCGCAGCACTGCCCACCCCTCCACGTTTGTTACCTCCACCCACACAGTAGTCCTCATGTCACCACTGATGGTGGCAGAGCCGTCCTTGTCCTCAGGAGTGATGGGCAGCCTCTCCACCCAGCTGCCACCTGCCTACTCGCTTGGTCGTCAAGCTGCATGTGTGAAGCTGGCTTGGCCAGCTGGTTGTCAACCCAGCGGAACCCTCGAGTCTTTATGACCTGGTAGTGACAGCCTGGGGTACAGCCTGGCTCCACCCTTTGCCTGTTCTGCACAGGCCTCCAGCGTATCGCTGGATTTCTACACCAAGTTCTGCTTTCTGTGGACTTTTCCGCCCCTTGCTCATGGGGTCCCAGGCTTCTCTCTTCACTTGGGACTCACTCAAATAGCCTCCCTGAGGTCTGGCTGTCATCTAGTGTTAGCAGACCCCTGAGTAGACAGATGTTTGTCCGCCCTGCCTGGAGGCCTCAGGGCCCCTATCACCAAGTATGATAGACTGGCTCTGTTGTGGGACTCACAGACACAGAGTTGCTCCACAGCCACCTCCCGCCTGACCCAGGTTTTATACAGGTGGCAGGTGCTGTCATGGACTCCTGCCCAGCTGGTGATGACACCCTTCCCCTCTGGCTCTGTTGCCATCAGACCTCCATTGCACTGCCAGCTTTACCTAATGGTCTTGGAGTCTAGCCTTGGACCGATGTTTCTGTCACCAGGTCCTCTCATTCCATGAATCCGTTTCTCCTTTTGTTGCCAGTGTGATTTGTTGGAATTGGAAATCAGCTTCCCAGAAGTAACCTCCTCCTGTGGTACAGCAGGGAGTGCCCACCTGCCTGCCTTGCGAGCCTCCACACTGGAGCTTTCTGTTCTGTCAGTTCTGTGCCTGCCTGCATTCTGCTTTCTTGGCCCACCTGGTGAGTGGGAATCTGTTGCTTCCTCAGCGAGGTGGCCACTCTTCCCTGTGGGCAGGGCACCTGCAGCACTCACCACAAGTGGGTACAGAGCCAGAGTTTGAGCTCATGTTTATTGAAGTGTCAGCTACCTGAGGGTGCCCCAACAGCTCCCAGGCTGCTGGAGCAGGAGAAGCTCCTCTTGCTGTACTGAGGACATCCTGGAAGTCAGGCGAGCTGCTGGCTCGGGCCCTCCTGCCATGGGCAGACCCTGGCAGCCAGCAGCCCACTCGGCCCAGCTGCTGGGGAGTGCAGAGTCCCAGTAGCCTCTCCATGTACTTTGAAAATTAGTGTTTGTGTGCCAGTTAGAAACTCACTTTGTGATTGCCGTCCGTGACCCATGTGGCTCCTAAGGTTCTTGGGGTTAAGGACAGCGAGAGGATGAGAAAAATAAGAACAGACAAAGCTGGGGTCAGATGGAGCCCTTATCCTCCTGATGGGAGGAACAGTGCTGGCTCCTCACTGCAGAGGCGTTTATTCATACCTTTTAGCAACTTAATGTCACATGACACACTTGTCCTTGTAGCCCACTGTTCAGCTTGTCTTGGGAGTCGGTGTTCTCTGGGCTGAAGCAGCTTCTTCAAGTGGCTGTCCCAGGTGCTCTTTGTTCTTAGAATGGTGACCCTCCAGCCTTGCACGTGTGATCAGTTTCCAGCTTCAATGGTTCCTGGCATGTGATCATAAAAATTAAGATAATTTCTCTTGCTATGCAAACATTTTCAAATTTTTGTCTAATGGGAAGCACTGAGGGCTCTAGATGAGCTTGAAAGAAACTTCAGAGGATATTCTTTTCATTTTGAATATAGTCATCCAGGAAGCCTGTTGAATTTGTGGTATCACTGTAGGAATTTTGTACATTTTAGCTGGCAGAATTTATTTAGAGGACCAGCTAGGTAATCTCTACAGTATATAATGTCAAGTAAGGCATGCTTTCACGTGAGCCTCACTCATATTCAGTGCGTATTACGGATTTCCATGATGATTAAGGTGAAATCCTGGAATGTCTGTTCAAAGCAAAATGTCAGACATTCCTTCATGCTTTATTTACACAGCCATGAACTGTTCAGCTGAAGACACGGAGATTGACCACAGCCCAGAAACGCTCAGTAAGAAGCTGTCGGACGTGTGTCAGCTGCGGAGGGACATCGACCAGCTGAGGACGACGATATCCGACAGCTATGCTCAGGACATGGGGGACAACTGCATCACCCAATGATGACGGCGGGCATCCGCAAGTGCTGCTGACTTAGCAGGGCTGTGGATTTGTGTTATTGAGGCAAATGATGTATGTGAGGAGGTTGTGAAGGGCTATTAGGCAAAAAATCAAATTACCATTTGAAAGATGTGATAAAGTCTAAGAAGACATCTGTTTTCTAAAACTACTGATTGTAGGGCCAGGCTGTGAACAGTGCCCTTCAGAAGGGGTAGGAGTTGTTTGCTCCTGTAGTTTTCTGTCACTGTGTGTGCACGTGTGCGTGGGGTTTGGGTGTGTGTGTATGTTATTCACAAAGTCTCTAAGGCTTTTAAGGGTCACAGTGTAGAGCTTCCAAGGGAGGGCTGGCGGGGCAGGCTGTGCAGCAGGCAGGTGTGGGGCAGGAGGAAGCAGGGCCCCCCATTTGTGCCCAACAGTCACCGAGCTGAGGCTGTGGCTTGGTGGCTTTTGGTCCTGTAGGGAATTTGTGTATCACCAGAAGGTTTAACGTCATTTGAACTGATTTTAGCAGGCCTCTTAATGTTTCCAGGTTTTATTTACATGTTACACGTATCATTGTAAACAGAGCCGTCTGTATGATTAGTGCAAGCCCTCTGAGGCCCAGATCATCATTTTTAAAGACAGATTGACAGAGACTTTGGAAGAGTAGCTTATTTATCCACATTTCAATGTTTACAGTTTAACAGTTTTGTACCTGTTTAAAGTTTAAAGTACCTTAGGAAAAAGCCAGCTCCTATTCCTTATCTCTGAACTAACCCTATCACAAAACAGAATCTAAGCAGAGCTGAGATTTTTATGCCCCGTGAGGTATGCTTCCTTGAGGTGGGGCTGTGTGTACAGTGAAGTTGACCAGGCCTGCTCCACCAGGTGTCAGGCGTGGTGCAGTTGCATGCAGGGTGGACGTTCAGGTGTGCAGGTACCTACATCCGTGTGCCTGTGCCAGAGAGCTGGCTGGTGTTGCGGAAGTCTGCCTGATTTCCCTTGGGTACTTATGCAGCCTGGAGTACCCGGCATCATGGCCAGCTCTGGACTCTTAATGGTGACCGGACCCTCAGATGTCACCAATCCCATTGGGGTGGACCAGTGTTGCGTGGTGGAGATCATCAGCGGCTGTTTCTGGGAAAGAGTTCCCTTTCCTGTGCCATGGGAGCCTGGCAGGTTGGGGCCTACTTGAGATGGCCTGGCAGAGGCGCTGACCCTGAGGGGCCCACCCGGGCAGGACTTAGTGACTGGAAGAGCATGGCTGTCCAGTGTGCTCAGTTGGTTTCTAAAGTCAGTGCTTGAACACAGTCAGAGTAGTAAAAGAGCACCAAAAATGGGGTGCAGAGGGTTCTGCCGAGCCAGAGTTAAGCTGTGAAGTTGGCCCTTCACAGTGAAGTGGGCACTGCCCGGCCCCACCAGCCACACGTAGCAGTGACTCTCACACTGTCCCACCAGGACTTCAGAAATAAATGGACTGACCTGCCAGTTTGGGTCCTTCATTTCTTCCTTAAATGTCTTGTAGGTTTTTAGTTTAGTTTTAGAGTTTTGCAGTGGTCTTGTTTTTAAGATGAAGTTAGGATCGTTTGTTTTCATCTGTTTTGAATACGGTTTTCTTCTCTGGCCTACTTGGGATAAAATAATTTTTTGTTGTAGAAAGTTTTCTAAGAAATTACAGAATCTAATTCCCATATCTCGAGGTAGCAGAGCGCTGCTCCTGCACTGCAGTTGAGGCTGTGTGCTGGGTGGGGGAGAGTGGCGCCGGGTGCAGGGAGAAGGAGCCGTCTGCGGCCTGCAATGCTTGGAGAGAATCTGGGCGAGGAAAACTAGTGTTACTCTATTTGTGTTTAGTTCTGATTTTTACTTCTCAGAAACTTGCCCTTCCCAGGACCCCATCTTGTGTTAAAATGGTGATGGTGTTGGTGTCGTCCTGAAGCAGAGTTCTCTCTCATCTCGCTGGCCTGGGCTGCTCAGTGAAGCTGTTACTACAGCCAGGTGCACTGAGACAGTCCCTGCGCATGGCAGGAAGTCTGAGATGTCCAGCCCTCCTTCATTCTGCGCTTGGCTGTGGGGTGCTCATGTGTCATGGCCATGGGTAAACTCCAGCTCGCTCACTGAGCTCAGGTTCAGGGCTCTGAGCAGAAGGTCAGATCACTCGAGCAGGCGACTGCAGGCCCAGAGCCATCATTTCCTGCAGTGTTGGAGAGTAGGGTGAGCTGTTGGTTACTATTTGTGATCCTCGGTGGCTCTGATTCTAGAAAGTGTAATCATTGATTAGGTGAGCGATGCCTGAATTTATTTTTTAAAAGTGTGGCCCTTTGAATATTTTAAATAGGATTCCCTATTTAATGTTAACAGTGTTATATCTTAATGAAATTTGTTTTGGTGTGACAGTTTACTGCACTGAATTGGGGATCCCTAAATAGCTTACTGGAGACAACCCCAGACCTGGAAAGTATTCCTGAGGTGAGTGTTGTGTGTCTCTGTCTGACCTGTAGCCTGGTGGGCAGTTCGTGTTGCACAGGACTGTGAGGGACCCTCAGGTGCTGTTTAAAGGAACCCCCTGTGTTGTAAGGATACCAGCTCAGTGCAGGGCACGTTGGGCTGTCCCTGGCCACACCACAAGGGTGCCCTGGGTTTGGCTTTCTCCTCCAACTGCACACTACAGCGCAAGGAGGCTGCTCCCACGGCCATCTGGGCCTCTCCTGGAGCTTCAGCTGGGTCACCTTGCTTCCCTTCGTGAGCCTTCTCTCAGTGTTCATACGGAAGAGAAGCTATTTCTTACTGGATACAAAGAGTACGGTTTCCAGCTTCACTCCCAGATGCCATCAGTAGTGTTGGCCATGTGAGTGTGTCACACATTTAATCATGGAGGGGAAGGATTTTGAGAGGTTTCGTATTTCAGAGAAATACTGAGCGTCATAGGAGGAGGTGATGTCTGATCAGGAAGTCTAACACCAGTGTTTACCGCTGCTTAGGGAGAGAACCTCTTGTGCCTTTTGTCTGCAGTGAGTGCATGCCTGGTTCTATGTCTAGGCTCCCTGAGAGGTGTGGCTCCTGTGCCCTGTTCTGCAGATAGAGCTGAGCCTGGAGCAGAGTTTCCATAATGGGGCCACGTGAGGAGTCACGGGCCCAGCTTCTGCTGTGGAGCGAGGGCTCCCTGGAGAACAGAGTGCGTATGCATGTGCGTGTGTGTGTGTTCATATGTGTGTTCGTGTAGATGATGTATGAGTTGTTTTTTAAATCTTGGAGCGTGAGCTGGGCATCGCATTGGTGCTGGGCAGTTGCGGAGAGCAGGAGCTCGGGCAGTCCCCCGGCCGGTGCTGTGCATCTCGGTTCAGTTTCTGAACCACCCGTGATACCTCGTGTAAATACCGCATCCCTGACGTAAGCAAGAGCATTACTGGGAAAAGGAATGTGAAGCCACTGGCTGGCTTATGCCTTCTGACTATCATTTTTGCCTCCTTTTTTTTGTAAAGGGGTTGGTTTGTTTTGTAATAGAGTTTACAGCTAGAATTTTGAATGCCAAAGTTCTATTTATTAAACTAAAAAAGTTTTCAATGTTAATGCCTAGTGTTTTTTCACTGGACTATTATTTGTTGATATTGGAATTTGTATTTACAGAGAAATAAATTTTTTATTAAAAGATGTACAGCTTCCTCGTGCCCACTGTTAATATGAGAGTCTGTCTGAAATTCCAGGCTCTCTCCCGACCTCCAATGGCAAGGCCAAAGTCTGCTGAGTACTGGGGCTTCTTGGACTGTGGCTGGAAGGCCTCTGCATTGTGGTCCATTCCGGGTTATCTTCAGTTCCTGAAGAGCTTTCCTCAAGCTTCCCTTGGAGGGTTGGGCACTGCTGACAATAGGTGTCGCAGGTACAGAATTCCTGTGCCGTTACAAATCCATGTCGGCATCTGAAATCTCTCCTGGTTTTCCAGTAGTTTCCCCACATTGCTGAGAGTGTGGGTGAACGAGTCAGTGTCTGTTTGCTGGAACAGGAAACCCGCGAGAAGCACCATGGAGGAAGAGGAGGAAGGTTATTTGGGCCCGCGGTTTCTGGGGCCCTGGTCCGCGACCCTCTGGCTCCACGGTCGCCTGTGGCCAGTCGTGGACAGTGAGGGGAGCTCAGCTCGGGAAACAGATGGAGGGGCTTGGACAGGCTCTGTCCCTGAGGTGTGGCCATGTGCCAGCCTCCCATCTCCGGGGCCACTCAGCTTCGGACCAGCAGTTGCCTCTGTGCTCCGCAGTGTGTATGGACTGGGCAAGGGCAGTCTCTCAGGTCAGGCCGAAAAGGAGACAAAGTTTAGGTTTCAAAAGGAATGCAGTCGCATCTGAGAGTTTGGTCTGGAGAATGACGTAACTCGTACTCCTGCAGCCCTTCCAAATAAAGAAGCAAGGAAGTTTTGTCTTTCATTTATACACTGACCATAAGACAGTGGTTAAAGTTAATGACTTGTGGTGGTTAAAACAACCCAGGAAGTGCCCTCTGTTGGGGCACCTGAGGTAAAAAGGATCTCAGGTGAGTTACCCTCAGTTCCCAGCTCCCAGGCTCGAGTGCTACTGGGCCCTGGCTATGTCACAGACAGGCACAGAGGACTGTGCATCTTCACAATGTCAGAACTCATGGGAGGCAGTGCCCTTGCTGGACCCCAGTGACCTCCTGTCACCTCCTTTCAGATCCCCTTGGAACCTTTTCTAGTGACCCATCTGCTCCGTAAGGCATTCTTAGGGATCTGCCCTCACGGCACTTGTCTCCCATCTGGCACAGGGGTCCCCAGGGCTGCCAGGGGTGCTGGCCGCACGGCCTACTCTGCCTCTTCCAGCTTCTCAGGTCCTCAGCTTGGGCTTCTTTCCCCGTCTGCAAAGGTGAGGCATAGTCCTGGGTTCCTCTGCCACTGCTCCCATTCTCTGTCTGCTCTGAAGAGCCCTGTGATTACCTCATGGCCACCCTGATAGCCTGGGATTATTGGGGACCTGGCCAAGATCCCCAGCTGCCTGTGTGAGGGATACGATGTGGGGGGCGGTGAAATAAACCTAGTAATGCATGCCAGGGCTGGGAGGTGGGTGCCTCAGGATGGCAGGGACAAAGGGCCCCAGGCCCCAGCCACACTTCATAGGGCATGCACAATAATCCAGTGGTTTTCAGGTGACTCAGAGGGTGGTGGTGACCTTCTGCTAATGATTATCTCTGTATGGGTGAGGACATGGGCACAGATGGCAGGTTAAGAAGGAGTTTATCCTTTCTCCAAGGTGAAACTTCATTTTTATTGCTGCTGGGCTCCTTGGGGTGGCTCAGCACCGGGATGGTGGGCCTCCCCGTGACTGGGGTGCATTGAGTCACGTCTGGCCATGCGGAAAGGCACCAGGCCTCGGACAAGCCCGAATCCCAACCTGCTTAGGAAGGGATTTCCCTGACAGCTACACAGAATGGCTTGGGGACACACCTTTCAGCCGAGCTGTGGCTGACCAGTGGTCCGCTATCCACTGCCCTAACAAAGACCGCAGCCTTGGCTCACGGGTGCTTTTGTTTTTGTTTGTAAGCTCCGCATGGCGTAACAGACAGAACCACAGCTGTCCGTAAACCAAGGTGCTGCTTCCTGGGGCCTCAGAGAGGAGAGCTTGTGGGTTCAACCAAGCTGGATTCTGCACTGCTGACCTGGGCTGCACATCACAGTGGACTGCGTAGTGGAGCCAGACTGGCCTCCAGGGCTGGCAGGGAAAGGAGGGGAGGAGCTGGGCCACTGTCCCCCAGAACAGCACATGTACCCAGAGGTCCCTCCCACCTGGGCCTGGGGCCCTCAGGTGTTCAGAGCCACCGCGGACGCCTGCTGTCCTCAGCCTGTCTCTGCATGGGTCTCGTGGTGTCTTAGGCTCCAGCTATCTCGGACCTGGCTCCGTCTCCCACACTGACACAGCCACTCGGCAGCTCTGAGAGACTTCTCATTGTCTGTGCTGTGTCATTTCTGCTTCCCTGGCTCCATCTGACAGAAACCTAAAACTCTGCCACTCCAAAGTTTGTCATTTGAGGGTTTTAAAAATCAAACTGGAGCCCATAACTGTATTGTGACAATTCGGGGAATCGCCCTGCATCAGTAGAGTGTCCCGAGGTCCAGCCTTGACTGCTTCCTCATGGCTGCGTGGGGCTGGATACTTGGAGTCAGAAATGCCCGGTGGTGACATGTGGAGCTTGGGACAGCTTGGCTTTCAGGGCAGTTGGGTCCCCTTTGTGGCACAGCTGGTTCATCTCCAGTCCCACCCGTCAGGTGGACAGCAGCCCGAGCCTCTGGGGAGCCAGGGTCCTAGAAGATGCCAGGCTGTGCACTTGCTGCCGGGTTCAACCCAAGGAGCAGGGAAGCTGGGCCAGTGCTGTGGTCAGCACACTGAGGGTGCAGGCCACACTGCCCGACAGGACTGCATGCAACTAGGGCCTGGCACCCCCAGCCAGGCCAAGTCCCGGACCCTGCCGCCCCTGCCCCTGGTAGCAAGGCTGTGAGAGGCTCAAAGATGCTGTCCTCAGCCAGCCCAGAGCAGACCCGAGCAGCTGCAAGTGCTGAGTTGCACCCTGGACCACCGTGGTGGCTTGGCCTGCACAGCTCAGGGCTCAGCATGTGCTGGATCCTGGGGCTGAGGTGCCTCACCTAAGGCTCGGGTGAGGCACGGGCATCTGTGCAGCTCCTGGGTACTGCAGGGAGACAGTGCGGTCACTCTCCCTCTTACTCCACTCTGGCAGCGACAGCCCCACCTTGCCTGGCCCTGCTGTCTCCAAGTCAGCTAGGCATAGTGTGGGCCCCGAGTTCTAGGCTTTCAGGGGACGTTCAGACAGTGGCAGCTGGCGTCCCGGACACAGAAGAAAGAGCAGCAGCCCACAGGCCAGTGAGGCCCAGACAGCTGGGCAGCTGCACCCAGCACAGCCTGGGGTTTCATTGGCTTGTGCTGGGGTCCTGAGTGAGAAGTGCAGGAAACATTATGGCACCTGGGGCACCCTGGTTACAGTGCCTGGGTGCCAGCACCTGGGTGAGAGCATCTGCCCAATAAAAAACTAACATCCCCATTTGGGAGGGCAGCTGAGAGTCTCAGCTGATGCAGGGGCTCCCCCTACTCCAGTTAAGTGGGGAAGACACAGAGGACTGGAGCCATCTGCTAACGACTCAGCATGCAGATCGCAGCCCCCAACCCCCAGGGCCAGCTCGGGGCTCCCTGCCTCACTCCAGCAAGCCTACCTACCAATGGTCACTCCGCCCAGTGAAATGGTTTTGCTGCCTACTTTCTCTTCCCTTCCCATTAAGTGATTTGGTTTCTCCTTCTGAACTTTAATCTCTTAATTCTTTTATCAGTGTAGTTTTTGGTTGTTTGGTTTTGTAAAAATCCTCATTTGATGAAACAGAAGCACACAGGAAAATGGACAGAAGCCCAGTGGTCAGGCACAGGGGCTAACGGGAGAGACCCAGAGAGGACATCCTGATGTGGAGCCAGGCCACGCCACATGGGACACTGGTCACGTGCTCTCCTGTCAGCCTCCTCCATCTGGACCCTTGGGCCTCAATACCAGACCTGGGAAGCAGAGGCCCAGAGACCGGGGGCCTTGTCTGGTGGAGGAGCAGGGGCTCCTAACCTGGCACCAGAGGGGCACTGGGACACAGCTGGGTGACACTGGAGAAGGAGAGGCTTGGAGGAGTGAGAAAAGCTGGGAGAGGAGAGGATGGAGGTTGAGGGGAGGGAGAGAAGGGGGAAAACAAGAAGGAGGATGAGGGGGAGGAGGGCATTGGCTGCTCTCCCAACACCGCTAAGTAGGACCCTAGACCAGTGTCACCTCGGCCTGGTAAGCAGCTGCATGGGCCAGGGTTCGGGCAGCGTTAGGGGTGGGGCGGGTGGCGGGGAGTGGTGATTGGCTGGCTTCCCTGCAGGATTTGTTGGTTTTCGGTTTGTGTGTGTGTGTGTGTGTGTTGTACTCCAGGGGTTTGAACCTGGGGCCTCACTCATTCTAAGTAAGCTTTCTACATATCCTGTGCCTTCGTATCACTGAAAATGAATTTTTTATTCTGTTAATACACTGATTATTTGAGTTTTATATTCTGAACCACTTTCTAGGCCTAAGTCTCCCTGGGCATGATGTGCGACCCCTTGGTGCTTTGATACTGTGGCAGGACCCCTGCGGTCTCTTTCTCTTTAGTCTTAGCAGTGTTTCCATCACCACCTACCAGTGGCTTGGCTTCATTTTTTTTTTCTCTGCTTAGACTGGATAAAACCTTGAATCTGTGGCTTGATGTCCTTCCTTTGCTTTGGAAATTCTGGACTGTTATCCAGAATTTCCGTCTCTCTCCCTTCTTGCCCTGCCCGCCCCAGGCCTTGCACCTCCTCTTCTTACCCTGTCACTTGCTGCTTTTGATCTGATCCTCTTTATTCTGGATGTTCTCTTCTGACACATCATCCAGTTCCTTACTTCTCTTTTTAGGTATGTGGAAAGCCTCCCATTGTGTTCTTATAATCATTATTATATCTTTCAGTCCCAGAGTTTTTTCTTGGCCTAGAATTTTCAGTTTCCTGCTGGGTTTCAGTTTTATCACTTGTTTCTTGAGCATATTAAGAATAAATATTTTACAACCCATCATCTGTAGCCCTCTTTAATTTTTATTCTGAGACAGGGTCATA